CAACCGCATCCCCCTGACATTTGAGACTTTATGCCTTCAAAAAAAAATCAAAATGAATTTTAATTAAGAAATTATCATAAAATACTGTCGAATATTCAAGTGATTGTATGTCTGAATTGCATTTGAATGAATTTTTGAATAAATGAACAGATGAGCATCTTGTAATTGACCCAACTGTGCACGCCGTCCTAGTTTTAAACTGAGTGCAATTAATACCAATTGTATTTCAATTAAGTTCGAGTCCAAACCCTTTATCCCCATTGCATATTCTCGACTGCACGTTTAATCAGACGCATCTACATGCAAAAGCCAGAATCTAATTTGAAGGGATCACATTCTATTAATGAGGTTCATATTGCATTGGTTGCAATGATCAGCGTGTGTGCGGCGTGCTATAATAATGACATTAGAGACCTCTGCTGTTCTTTGTTAGCTGATTAATCCGCCATTTGTCACCATTGTTTTACGCAGCTCTGGGAAGTAAATGTTGTTGACACGCGGCGGCTGTGGCGCGGTGGTGGTTTTTGTGTAGACAGGTGCTGTGATTCACTCTCTCAGTCATCTGGCTCTCTCTCCACAGCAGTTCCGACTCGGTTTAATTAGTCACCGATGACGGTTGCGAGCTGTTCGGCTCCCGTGGCTCTGTGGAGGAATTGGCAGCGAGCAAACATGTTCTGAGGTGTTCTCGTTGGGCGAGGGAGGAGATACTGAGATGTGAGTCCTGAGGGAAGCTTCCTTACAGAGGACCGGCGCTCGATGGGTCAGGGCTGCGTGCTGAAGATTGCAGTGTGAACAAACATTTGGCTGATTCCTGTAGAGGATTGTGCAGAAATGGCTCACGTGTTGGGCCCACCTACAAGGAGAAAGCTCAATGTGAATTTCAATGATGAGTTATAACAGGTCAATTGAACTAATTCAGATCACTATAATTACAGTGTAACTTAGCCGATTTTGTGTTTTTACAATGTCGGTAGTACAAAGCTGCGTTCACACTACACGCGACCAAGCGACACGATACCATTCATTTTCAATGATAAACAGGCGACTTCCGGCGACATGCACAGTCGCGACCGGAGGGGCGTGTCCAGCGAAGCAACAAAGTTGAGAGATTTTTAACTTTATGCAAGTGAAGAGCGATTTTCGCGAGCGACAACCAATAAGAGTGAAGTCAGTGGAGCGCGTCACTCTTCAGTGCTAAGTCTGACCGAGGCTCATTTTAGCAGTCAGAAACTGTCCTATAATGGATGATATATCTCCGTGTACATACAGTGGTGTTCACCATACTGACTCCATGACTGAATGGTTTTGGGAACCCAGATAGACCGGTATTTGCCCGTTTGCTGCAGTTAAAGGGATAGTTCACTTTGAAATGAATTTTTGATATGTTTTATCTTACCTCAAGGGCATCCAAGATGTAGGTGTCTTTGTTTCCACAGCATTTTCAATTTTGACATTTTTCAGTCAAACCGTTGTTGTCTATCAGTCATACACTGGAGGCTAAGGGGGTCCACCAAAAAGCATGCACAGAGAAGTCCAAATTAAACATGATTTAATGACTCGTAAATGTAAGTACACATTGATGGCCTAAGACATGAAACGAGCGTTTTTTGTGAGAAAACGAACTGTATTTATATCGTTTTTACCTCGTGTTATCCAGGTGATCTGAATCAGTTGTTCAATGTCCAACTGAACCGAACTGAATCAGTTCAATGTTACGCCGGAAGTGAACGCTTGCGTGTGACGTCACTCAATATTTACGCAGAGATTTCGGAAGTTTTACCTTTTACTAAACATATTTAGATATACCGAAATCCTCTTCCATTGCGGTTTCCCGTATATCTAAATATGTTTAGTGAAAGATAAAACTTCCGAAATCTCTGTATAAACAAAGAGTGACGTAGGCGCGCAAGCGATCATTTCCAGCGCATGCGCAGACCGAAGCGCCCTCGCCGTCACATCGCTTGAACGTGACCGTGATTACAAGAGGTAAAAACGATATAAATACTGTTCGTTTTCTCACACAAACCACTCGTTTCGTGTCTTAGGCCATCAATGTGTACTTACATTTACGAGTCATTAAATCATGTTTAATTTGGACTTCTCTGTGCATACTCTTTGAGGTGAACCGATTGAGGACCCCCTTCACCTCCAGTGTATGACTGATAGACAACAACGGTTTTACAAAAAATGTCAAAATTTAAAATACTGTGGAAACAAAGACACCTACATCTTGGATCCCCTTGAGGTAAGCTAAAACATATCAAAAATACATTTCAAAGTGAACTATCCCTTTAAATAGCGGCGATGGCAAAGAGCACTCAATGTTTCTCGTTCATCTTTAATATCATGCATTTTATGTACTGATTCCATTTATATTTAGACTTTTCCTTCCAAAATATTTGTTTGTAGTGGCAATAAAACGCATTTGTTGTCTAACATAGAGTAACATCCGTGAATGTCACTCACAAACATTACTAGGCAACCAGTAGTGGGGAACGCCCTCCAGCGCAGCCACAAAGTCGCGTGTAGTGTGAACGGGGCTTTAATGAACAATGTTTTCTCGTTCTCTGTGTTACCTAAACCGAGAAGCAAAAGTCCGTCGGATAACACGAAACACACCGTCCAGTGAATTTTAACAGCTCCTGGGCTTTCAGGAAAACTATATTAAACTTCCGTAATTTTGTATCTCCTGCCCACGGACAGTCGGATTGACAGAGGGTTATTAACAGAACACTTATCGTAAGGGTAGGTTTATCACTGAAAATTGTATCATATTTTGTCTTCTCTTTAAACAGCATTATGGTAAAAAATACTATGGCAACATCTTTCTTACCAGCAAGCGAAAATGTTTTGCTTCGGGATGTTTGGCAGAAGGTGCTCTCTCTTCCTTATCTTCCCAATTAACTGACAGAATGACCGTTTCTTTCAGTTTTTCCCTTATTTTTGGCCTAAAACACTGTTCGTGGTATTCCAGTTTGAAACGTTGACTACAAAGATTTTCTGTTGCGCCGTTCTCTCCATATTTCCAATTCTTGGCAGCCTTTAGCATCCGCCTACAGCAATCTGAATGGTTCACTGGAAACCGAAAGTAACACACTCCTGCTAAACGTTTACTTTTTCAATTCTTACACCTGATGTCACATGCTTCGGATGTTTTAATTAAAAAATCAGTCTACAGAATTTCATAGACAAACTGTCGGTGAAATCATCAATACATGTAAAATCGGTTACGCTTCCTTTTACAGTACAGTACTTACAGTGTACTTACCTAGAAAGTACTTGCTAATATAAGATAAGTACATGGAACAGGGGTAGGAGGTAGGTTCAGGGTTAGTACTAGTTATCAGTGTTGTAGTATTTACTCGGACTCGTCTCGGACTCGGTCTCGAGACCATATTTTAATGGTGTCCATTTGGACTCGGAATTGACTTGTACTCGAACATTTTTTTTTGTCCACTCGAGTCCACTCGAGTTCAATTAAAAATATTTTTCATGATTATTAATGTATGTTAATAAAATATTTCTTTAAATTGATTGACACGCCCAGTGATTGGTGATTTTCTAGTGCGCAACTGCGCATGACAAATTGTAATAAAATTACTTTTAACACCACCTACTATGTGGCCTTTTTACCCTAAACTGATCATATTTTTTAAACTCTAAGTAAATTCAGTAAAAAAAAAAAAAAAATTTAAAAAAAAAGGATTTCTTTAAGTAAATAAAAGTAAATTAGGTAATCAACCCTCACTGGTCTCGGTCTCGACTTGGACTCGACCGTCTCTGGTCTCGGACTCGACTCTCTATGGACTCGGTCTTGACTCGGACTTGACTCTCTCTGGTCTCGGTGTCGAGTCGGACTCGAGTGAGGTGGTCTCGACTACAACACTGCTAGTTATTACCCAGTAATTGTAGTTACTAAAACAAGGACATAGTATTTACATGGGTAACTGGACTGTAAAAGGAAGCGTTACCGTAAAATCTTACATATAACCACTTTAAGTCATGAAATTGAAACTTTTCTTTTGAACAACCATATGAAACCAACATGAATACAAAGATAACATTTCTAAAACTTAACACGTTAAAAGACGGATTTCTTTGTCTTGGACCCTAAAAATAATTTAGTGCATTTTTTAAGTTTTCACAAATGTATGCTTAAAGAGTAACTAAACACTAAACCAACTTTTTTTTTTAGTTAATGATCTGTAAGAATGGATCTTTATTAATACCAGTCATTGATTCGAGTAACTTTTTTGACATTTGTTTATAAAGTGTTCTATTTCTACAATATATGGTGTAAAAACGTCTTAGCGCTGCCCTCTTCAGGTTGAACGGTGGCTACTGCAGTTGAATTTTCCTATTGGATGTTCCGCACTTCGTGACGTACGCAGGTTTGGTGACGTAACGCCCTTGGCAGTATAAAAACCATCTTGTGTCGTCAAAACCACTGTAGCGTGTCCGGAATTGGAATTGTGAGTTTTGAAAACGATCAGGATAGTGTGTTTTAGCATCTATTTTAGCGTCCCCTCTATCTCCGCTGGGGTCTGCCCACTTTTTCAGCATTTTCAAATATTGTCAGTGGGTGGAGTCAGGCTCTGACCAGGGTTACCCTTTAAATGCAAAAATTCAAATTGCAAACAACTTCTCATTTTTAATGTACAGCTGATTTGTAGTTAAGGAAAATCTTTAGTGAGATGAGATGATTGAATTTTTACTGAATTAGCTTAAGGCTGATAATGAATTCAAACTCAAATTCCTGCACGTCCCTGTCATGTACATTTATTAAACACTTTTGCATATTTTCGCCTCATGAATGTGAAAAACACACGCCGATTCCACTTGAGCCTCTGTAGTCTAACTTTGGCTTGAAACTTTTCCACATTCCACAGTGCTTTAGACATCGACACTTTTTTCTGTTATGCATTGTTTCAAAATGTGCTACACTGCCTCAACCGAGTCCCTTTGATCTCTTTCTGTCTTTCGCTCTTCCACTCTCTCAGGTTTACATTCCCTGCAGAACCGCTATTGTTCTGGCCAACGAGGAAATCGATTACTGCTAGTGAAGCACAATCAGCGATTCACCGCGAGATGGAAAGCCAGCACGCTTCAACCTACCTTCATTCACAGCGTGTTTGCCATGATCCTTTAGAAAGCACACATTTTCCCTGGGAACTGCCACCAAACTCAATTGAGTACAAGATGTTATGAATACCTTCTTGGCCATTTCATCTCGGGTAACTTTTCCTGTCATTGTTCATACATTAATGATGAAGAAGCTCTAACTTAGATCAATGCGTAATCGAAATCAATATAACCCCAATATATCTGTTTTTCAAATGCCTAGGTTTATTTTTTTCTGTGGTAAAGTGTGAAATTACTATTCAACAATCACTGTGGCCAGTATTATTAGCAATATTTGTCAGCACTGTATTAGTAATGCCGTAAATAATTGTGAAAAGTAAATATAATTAATTGACAATAAGTGTGATCTGTCTGCTATTTAATTCGAATATGACTCAAGCACTTTTTGATGGGATGGGAACTGTTCTGTAAAAATATGAGAATGAACCGTGTATTAATTCATCCTAGTTAAAACAATCATTCGAGAAGGATGTCAGTTGAATTATATATTTTAATACATAACCTCTGTGTTAAGTCATAAGATCTAAGTTATAAGTTATGACAGGCTGTTTTTCAGTGCCTTCAAAATGTTTTCAATCACAACCAGGATTTTATATTAATTTCACTTACTAAATTAGATTTTTTTTTTTAAATAAAAGCTGTATTAATACAGATATAATATAGCTTGCGCTAATAATAATTCATTAATTTTCTGTTAGAAGACAGTCAAAATCAATATCTGAAATTCATGTTTTACAATAATCATTTTGTAGCACTGTTAGAGATCCAAAAACAAGTCTGTGTGCAGAAACACATGCATTATTATCCGGAAGCTTCTCTTATCAAAGCATCATAGGAAACTCTTGTGGTTTCGTGATTCAGAGAATCTAAAATGTCCCTTTATGAAATTGATGCTTGTAGATGTGCAGTAATTGAACCTGTTATACTGAGAAATGGCTTTCCAGAAAGCGTCTTGAATAAAGGTTTACGCTTATTCTACATGATTTTTGTTATTTCGAAAATACAGCAGTTATTGTCGAATGGTTTTATTTATGAAAATTTAAAACAAAAGCAGTCAAATGTAAAAGTTATCTTGTTGTGATGGTCAACGTTTGTTTGTGTGCAATGTTAAACACTGGGCTGTTTGTGTGTGAAAGCCATATTAACTGAAATAAAGCACTTCTAGAAACAAAGGACGGCTGGTTTCTTGCTCTTACAGAGCTCAACAGAGTTTTGGAAGTGAAATCATATTCAATTCTCAATTTTTAGCATTTAAATGAGCATTACCACAAAAACAAGCTTAATCAGTCTTGCTTAAGACTTAATGTCGATTCAGTTACAGTATGTAATGTGCAATTCTTCATGGGATGAGCGGATCATTCAAGATATTTGTTTTCTATTTGTCGATTATAATTTTGCTTTGAGTCATTTGGGTCTTGAAAAGGTTTGGTTTAGCTTAAATGTCTTTACTGAAGAATTTTTCTAAATGTATATGGAGAAAATAAATGTTATTTAATTAATGTCAACAACATTAGATATCATGCATATTTATTCAAATGTATTTATCATTTCACCAGAAGATAAAGTTCCTGACAGAATATTGATATCCAACAGGCATAGTAATACTCTACGGGTCCCATGCAATGATATGATGAGGTGTTTCACATCATAGTTAGTACTAAATAATATTTTATCACAATTTTTTTTTTTTTATCACGACTAAATGTTATACAGAGCCCCAAAAGCCCCTAACATAAAGAGCCCCTTTTAAAACTCTTAAAAGTTTTGCGAGGGAACGCAAAACAATGGGGAGAAACTCTGCAGGATCAGTATTTGACCAATCAGAAGCCAGAACTAGTCCCTTTTATAATGAGATGTATGCAACTCGTAGTGCTTCTAAGGTATATATTTGCGTGTTAGTCTGGATGTGCTTTCACAGTCATTGATTGCAGGCAAATTTGCACTTGTCAGGCTTAATGCAGTGATTGTATATAGAGATGTTTAAAAAGGCTTTGTCTAGTGACAGTGACATCTTTACCACTGAGATTAACGGATCAAGTCTCTAAAGTGCTTGAAAACAGACAACAAACCACATCCTCACGCATTGATATACTTATTCATTGCTTACTCTATTAAAGTGTTATGTAACTCACCAGTTCGTGTTTATTTTGAGTAATATTTTTTTTTTTTTTGGTAAACTATGGAAACCCATTTTTGGCTCAAGAATCAAATGTAATTGTGAGATGAAGTTATTTTCATTCAGCTGAAGTCAGTTTAATATTGATTCAGTTCATCAAGTGTCGTTGACCTATTTTCAAGAGTCACGTTATGAGATATAAAGCCCCTAATATGAGAAATAAATTAGCAGTTGTGAGGTATTAAGTTAGAAAGCGCCAATGTGAGAAACCAAGTTCCAAATGTGAGATATAAGCTAGTCACATTGGGACATCACAATACATGTTACACAATACACAATACATTTGACAGGTTGCATTATCCTGCTGGAAGTAGCCATTAGAGGATGTGTACATGGTGACCATAAAGGGATGGACATGGTCAGAAACAATGCTAAGGTAGGCCGTGGCATTTAAACGATGCCCAATTGGCACTAAAGTGTGCCATGAAAACATCCCTCACACAATTACACCATCACCACTAGCCTGCACAGTGGTAACAAGGCATGATGGATCCATGTTCTCATTCTGTTTACGCCAAATTCTGACTCTACCATCTGAATGTCTCAACAGAAATCGAGACTCATCAGACCAGGCAACATTTTTCCAGTCTTCAACTGTCCAATTTTGGTGAGCTCTTGCAAATTGTAGCCACTTTTTCCTATTTGTAGTGGAGATGAGTGGTACCCGGTGGGGTCTTCTGCTGTTGTAGCCCATCCGCCTCAAGGTTGTGCGTGTTGTGGCTTCACAAATGCTTTGCTGAATACTTCGGTTGTAACGAGTGGTTATTTCAGTCAAAGTTGCTCTTCTATCAGCTTGAATCAGTCGGCCCATTCTCCTCTGACCTCTAGCATCAACAAGGCATTTTCGCCCACAGGACTACCGCATACTGGATGTTTTTCCCTTTTCACACCATTCTTTGTAAACCCTAGAAATGGTTGTGTGTGAAAATCCCAGTAACTGAGCAGATTGTGAAATACGCAGACCGGCCCGTCTGGCACCAACAACCATGCCACGCTCAAAATTGCTTAAATCACCTTTCTTTCCCATTCTAAAATTCAGTTTGGAGTTCAGGAGATTGTCTTGACCAGGACCACACCCCTAAATGCATTGAAGCAACTGCCATGTGATTGGTTGATTAGATAATTGCATGAATGAGAAATTGAACAGGTGTTCCTAATAATCCTTTAGGTGAGAGTATTTATTAGCACTTGTGTCTCATAAAACCATGACGTCATTCTCAGATAAGACGAGAAAAATGGAACGCAGCATAAATTCAAAGTCTCAATGTGAGAATAAAAACACAAATGTGAAATATAGTCACGCTGCAAGATATAAAGTCTCAATTACAAAAAAAAAGATGCAATTGTAAGATTTTTTTTTTACTCTGAGGTAGGACCTGGTTTCCATATAATCAGTGTACAATACCAGCAGAAAAGCTATTTGATCACTTTCTGTTGCAAAGGGCCCCATTTTAACTGCTCAGCCATACGGTCAGTCTTATGTTGGCTGAGCACAAGAAAACATTTCTATTCCAAACGAGTTCTGAACACCTCGTTTACCTTTATGCAACAGCAAAAGGGCTTAAAATCCCTCTCTGTTTTGCTAAAAGCTTTGAGAGGGCCACTTTGCATAAATATCTGCCTCTTCCACAAGGACCATTGTGAATTTGAAGGAGGACGTTGTCCTTAATCGTACCTTTCATCCTGACCAATGGCATTTTCATTAGAGTTCTTGAATTGAATGTGTTAATCTAAACGGGGGGAGTCAACTGGAGCGCTGGGACCGCTTTGTTTCGCTCGTCTTTTGAGCTAATCAAGTCTCCGTCATTAATCACCTCCGTGACTGTGTGGAACTGAAGAGTGGCTGAAGGAAGCTGCGACCTCACTTTCCCACACAAGGTCACATGTGGACAATGCCTTCTTTTTATGCGCATTATTCTTCCGTCTCCTCTTACTGATGCTCCGTGTAAATCATCCGCTTTCATTGACACTTGTGTGATATATGTTTGGCCTTTAATGTAGTACAGAGAGAAGCGCTCTGCATCTATCTTCCATTTCCCTCGTGAGTCGGATAAACTTGCATTATGTCACTGATGAGCCAGAAAATGGCAGTAGTAATGAAATTTCACTCGGGTTTTGTCGGAGCTCCTGTTTCCGAGAGCTGCATTAACAATAGCGTTAGGCGGGGATGAAGTTCCAGGTCTGTGATTGGCTGTGAAGTAGTTTGGCTGGCCATCGGGAACACCTGAACTTTTCCAGATGAGCCGATCGGCAACACTAGTGGCAGACATGAGAAACAAAGATCAGCAATGAAAAGGCTATAGACCTTATTCACAGCAGCGCCATCTTTAAAGGGCATATTGCAGGTTAGAGGACCCAACGAGTCAATGCATAGAAAAACAATGTAGGAACTAGATTTTCTTTAAAATATACGTATAAACACGCCACAGAAGCTTCTGCAGTCGTTTTTGTGAGAAAATTTTACTTCCGCGTCTGAAAATGGGCGTGGCGGGCGTGACGCAATGAGCGGGAGAGCGGTCGATTCACACAACAGGAAAACAATGGATCGCATGACATTTCGGACGCTGAGGAAATACTCGTATGACGGATCAAGCCATAAAGTTATGAGCCTGCTATGCTAAAGAGATCAGGGACAGGCCAGGATAATGTCAGACAGAATGGTCAGAGAAAAATTGAGCTGTGATGTGAGGAGAACCAGTGGAGAACAGGACAGGTGCCTTTAGGTGAGAGACGTACTTATAGTATACACGTTCGCTAACGATATACACTGTGCTCACAATATTGTACAGATTATTATGATCCTATAACAGGCCAGCAGACATTAGTATGTTTAGGGTAGATTTATATACTATTAAATGTATAAAAACTTTACTTGAGTATATTTCTATACTAAAAGCATAGGCTATACTCGGGTAAATTTTTAATACATATTTTTCACCTTGGTTATAACATAAACAGAACATTTAAAGGTTTGAGTATTTAAACAACCAATTTTGTTTTTCAATTACAAGTTTTATTTAGGGCATGACATGACTAAGTTACCTATATAACACTATTTGATGCCATTGGTAGTATACGACGATCAATATTCTTGCTTCGGCATACCATGTTGAACTCCATCATATTGCCGAGATGCTAATCATTTGATCTGAAGTGAACGCTACACACGACCGTGTTTTCCGAGCCGAGAGGAGAAATCCCGTCTCTTCACCTGCTCAAACCGCACCAGGAACGAAAGATAGGCTATATAGCACAGTCACTTTTATTGTAATGGAAACTTGTGGACTCGATCTTGAAGTCCTGACAGGCTGGAGTTTTTGCAATCTCCACAAACACAATATTTACCATGACGATGATAAATTAAAATGCAAAAACTAACGAAAGCACACTGACTGACGAGCGCTCTCACTGAACACCAGCCTGCTCTCACTGAGCCGAGGCTGCGGCTCCCTGCTATGACGTCAAATGACGCGACGTTGAAAAAAAGCCGTTTTTACTAGCAGTCCAAGAAACGCTCACTTTATCTTCTAAATTAGTGCCCTTATGTTGTTTTAAAACATTTTAAATCCTGCATTAACTTTTCATATGGTATTTTCATACAAGGTTATCTATAAATTTCGATTTTTTTTTTACCTGCAATATGCTCTTTAAGGGATATACATGCATCTCTTCAGTGGGTTGTACTGTTATTTAATGTGTTTTTTGGATTGGTCTGATGACGCAAAAATATGATGCAAAAATAAAAAAATTCATTACACACAAAAAAAACCTGTAACGGATCATTACGCAGCTTTACAGCGGATGCCATTGGAAACATGCTGATTTATTATATGTATTACAGAGATAATATTTTTCATAACCTGAGATGAAAAGTTTTTTAAAAAAAGAACAGCATTTATTTACAATAGAATTCTTTTTAACAAATACCGTAAAAAGTGTGCCTGCACAGTGGTAACCAGGCATGATGGATCCATGTTCTTTTGCTGCATACCTCGGTTGTAACGAGTGGTTATTTCAGTCAAAGTTGCTCTTCTATCAGCTTGAATCAGTCGGCCCATTCTCCTCTGACCTCTAGCATCATTCTTTGTAAACCCTAGAAATGGTTCATTTTTTTCTCTCTTTCTTTTCTGGAAATTTGTACATGAATACTTTTATTCAACAAGGATGTGTTAAATTGATACAAAGTGATAGTAAAAATTTAAATTGTTAGAAAAGATTTTTATTTTGAATAAAAATCTTTTTATTCAAAATAATAAAAAGATTCTTTTTATTATTGTTCTTTTTAACTTTTTATTCATCAAAATTCTATCCCAGGTTCCAAAAAATATATATTAAACCGCACAAGTGTTTCCAATAAAAATAATGATTTCTGATAATGTGACACTGAAGACTGGAGTAATGGTGCTGAAAATTTAGCATTGCATCACAGAAATAAATTCTATTTTAAAGTATATTAGGTTTCTGGAAACCTGCTTGCTTGTTTTTGTGTTGTTCAGATGTAGAAGGCCATTCTCAAAGGTTCTGTGAGGGACACCGCAGGCTGTCCTCATATTCATAAAGGGAAGTGAATAAAGCACAGTTCTTTCACTGTTCGCTGGCGTTGAACTCTTTGAGTTTGTGTAATAATGCTTCCATCTAGTGGTAGTATCTGCATTTACTGGTAAAAGATACATATTTTAGACTTTGTGTTGGCCCATGTTTGTGTTTTATTTAAATCTTTATGTAATATTTCTAATTCCACTGCCCTGTGTCTCACGTTTTTAAAGGGACAGTTCGCAAAAAAAAATAAATAAATAAATTGTGTGAATGGCCCCTAAAACCAATAAAACCAATAAAAAAGTGTGTTGTGTTGTATGTATCTTATGACCAGTTTCATTTAGCTTGAAAGCGCATTTTTATACCATATTTAAGAATGCTCATATAAATAGAATAATGCTTATTGGATGACAGTGATTATAATAAATAAAATAAACAGATATAATATTTCTGTCTTTACACTTAACCAGTACAACATATAAATGTTCCTCAAAAGCTTGTATCATTTGATATTAACATTTTAAAGGGATAGTTCCCCCAAAAATGAGAACATTTGTCATTTACTCACCCTAAATATATTTTAAAGAATGTTAGAAATGGCACTTTGAATCTTCAATGACCCAAAACTGGTTAACAATTGCACTTTTATGTATGAATGTTATACATTACATATTATTGGGCTGCCCTAATACACTTACTTAACCAGTTTTACCTGATGGACTCACGAGAATTGCAACATACTTTAAGTGATAAAAATCAGGTTGTACATGAGTTCCAGAAGATGGCGAATGTTGGTTTTAAAGGAATGGTGTGAGTAAAAGTTTCAAGCGCCTCTAGTCTGGCGTATCGATGTAGCCGAAAGAAAGAGTCTCTGCAAACACAGTGACTTTAGTGATTCTGTTCTTCAGTTCCACTTGTCTGAATGTTTTCAGATTGTGTGTGTTGAAAGTGGTTTAGTTCTCTGAACGCACTAAATCTCTCTCATGCAGGCTTCATAGTCCACTACAGTTGCTCACAACAAAGGATCCCTGTGTTATTTGTGAGTCAGCCTACAGATGTTTGAGTTTGGATAAGCTGCATATTTTGGGGAGACTTTTTCCAATGTCAAACTCTGTAAATCAAACTATCATCAAAGGTTTCTTTGAACAAATTTGCTAGAACAAAGGAGCATCAAGAGAGTTGCTGTGAAAATGTATACTGCTCTAGTTGTGATTTATTGCCAAGTTACTTACTTTACTTGTATTAAATACTTTTAAAAGCATGTGAACAGCCTGAACCTGTTGCCAAGGGAAATGTTTCATCTCGATCATGTGGATTCCTATATTGAAAAGACTGGGTTTCTCTGGCAAAAATCAATAAAATACCATCAAGCAACAGAACCAAACGGGATATCCATGGTTAGCTATAAAGGAAACACAGGTCTATGGGTTTGAGTACGGCATGTATCCGCAGTTGTATTGCAAATGTAATGTTTGTCAATTGAAGGACTTTAGCCTCTGTGTTTAGTCTGTCAAATATATTGCAAATTGTTCTGAAATAAAGGCAGTAACATGTTTTCATCTGTATGTTTTATGTGGTTGGCTAAATAACTAGCACAGCAATTTCTAGTTATGATGCCCAAATAATAAATCTCAGTTTACTTAATATTAAACACGTTTTAATTTAATATTAAACACGGTACTAATGTGTATGCAATTTGCCTGTTCATTTTCAGACCCAAAATTAGCAAAAATATGCAATTTGATGGAGTTGGCCAAAAAAATAAGATGGAATTCTGATCATGTAAATCATTAAGATCTTTATAAAAGTAGGCCTATAGCAGATTACTTACATAAATTGAATCTTAAAATATCAGTCACTCTTTATCTCCTCATAATGTCTTATTATTTAAATGCCTATAGTTTTTTGGGTTTTTTTAAGTTTTTTTTATCAAAGCTATAGTTTTTATTGTAGGCGCAAACCATTTAATGCAATGCAATACAATGATGATTAAGAGATGAACAAATAAACGCTGCTCAAAAGCTTGTATCATTTGATACTCACGTTTTAAAGGGATAGTTCAGCCAAAAAAAATGAAAACAAAAGAAATGTGCGAATCTAGAATCTAATATGATACAGCATAGGGCTTTTAACAACAACTTGCATGAGCAGAAACTAACACAAAGGGGCTCGATAGATAAACGTGACTATGCAAATCATCATGCACACGTCTTCTTGCGTTTGGGTGTTGGCTTGACTCACGGAAGGATGTTAGAGACACTGGGCCAATGATACCTCACGGTTGGGGTTTATAATTTTTTTTACCGTCTATGGTTTATACCCAAGGTTAAAGGAGTAGTATTTTATTGTAAATAGTTGTACAGGCTTGATGTTTATTTTTCGTCGTCTCGAAGGTGTCAGTTCCGAGGTCGCGGAGTGAATTGCTTTGGGTGTCCGGATACTATAGGTAAGAATGAAGCACGTGCATGTAAACAACTGTTTTTGATTTGCTTATCCTCATCTACGTGTAGCTTAGGCTACTTTTTGATAGTTTTAACGATTTTTGTATTGAAATCGTTAACCTTGCGGCATGTCTGTGATGCACATGGTGTGTTCTCCATTTGAGGGCTGACGCAACACTTCACTTTGCAGGATGACGAGATTGAACTTTTTGTATTTGCAGAATTAAAAATCGTTGGGATTAACGTGTGTGAAAATGTGTGGAATGCGTGCATCTGCTTTTATAGAGCGCGCGCTATGATTCATTGTGATCTGGCATTAACCAAACTTCAAACAAAACTCAAGGAACGCAAGCCCGCAAGGCGGTTTGTGACATTAAGTGCATTCTTCAGCGAAAAGAGCGTATTATTTTCAATTTTACAAGGTTTTAATTTGGTTGGTGCAGTTCTCCATCACATATGTGAACGTTAGCTAATCGAGTTCCCGCCCAGGATTTTGTGTTCAATGCATTCTTTGAATAAATACGTTACTTTTTATAATACAGAGGCACGTGTGGCAATCTCTCGACATTTAAAAATGGGATTTTTTTTAAATTCGTAGACAGACATAAATAAATTCTCGCCAAACCATAACAAACTCGCTAAACTTCTGACACAAAGAAGCCACGTGCGCGCCCCCGACAATCCGCATGTTTTGTTTGTTTGGGGCGAGCGACCGCGCTTTATTATGACGTTTTAAAATGCGGGAAATTTGTTTCCTACTCGTCGTCTTGCAACATTTATTTTCTGAAGAATAAAAGGCTGTTCTCTTGAGTCGTGCAGAAGGGAAGAATACAAAAGAGCCGTGTGTGGTAAACGTTGTTTACGTTTTGTTTCATACGTCAACTGAAAATGAAGATAGATTTTAGTCGGCAAACTAGGCTATAGAGATGATTCCCCCATAAACAGTATTCATAATGTCATCCATGTTCATGTATATGAATTGCTATGTTTATGAAAAGCTTTAGCCTATGTGAAGTTGAACATTTATTTGAACTGATTTGGGTGTGAGCGTTGCCCATTGGGAAAATGCAGAATGTTGTGCGTGTGTGTGTGTGTGTGTGTGACCGTTACAGGTCAGGTTTGATTTCAAGCTTGTCAATTAGATTAATTTGTGATCATGTTCATCATGTTGACACAGGTATCAGTCAGAAAACATTCACAGAGAAGGTGTGTCTCTCTAGTGTTGAAGGGTGGAGGACTATGTGTTTGCTTTTCGGGGCACGTCAAGTTAAACTGTCTTGACCAAGTTTTTGTTTGGACAGTGAGACGGTCAGATCTGAAGATATAAATTTGGCGTGTATATGGAGTGACAGGTGTTCAGTTCTAGAAATCTTTTTTGGTTACTTCAGTAAATCAACCATCATGATTCTTTTGTTTTGAGGATGTCTGTGGTTTCATTTCTCCTCAGAAAAATTGAATGTCATCATCAAGACAGTTAAAACACTATTCTTGGACTGGGTGTATCTAGATTCTAGAGTGTATCCTGGATAATATGCTATGTTTAATTGGGCTTGATGTCCATAAGGGTGTGTATCTGTGTAATACAAATATTGAATTCATAGGTTGTTCACATCAGTTTAATACGTTGTAAATTAATGCAGTACCTTTATTATATCACATGATACGGCCACATCTCTTACATACACCAGCACATATATTGTCCTTGTCACAAGTAATTAAATTCACATCTTCACTTAGTAATTCACACACTTTAATTCAAATTCATTCAACTAAATGTAATCTTTATCCATCCATTCAAATTTTGTGCTGCAAACAAAAATAAGAGCTTTCATTTTGTGAAGAAACGATGGAATAAGCGAGATAATTCAGAATTGATTTATTAAATCAATACTGCGAGATTATAAAGCGAGATAATTCAGTATTGATTTATTAAATTGTGCAAATGTGATAGTAAAGACTTGTATAATGTTACAAAAGATTTTTATTTAAAAATAAGTCCTGATAAAATATGAATCAAGCAGTTTTAGTCCAAATTTTCTGAAGAGACTTGATTGCTTTATGAAATGAATAAATTGAATTTTAGGGGTGTAACGATACCCTCATGTCACTAGTGATGCACCGATGTGAAAATTTGTGGCCGATACCGATAACCGATATTAACATTGCTGTTATGGCCGATACCGATATTTACCGATGTCGATATCCCTGTATAGAAAACACATAGCGAGGATTAGGGCTGCACGATATTGGTAAAAAATGACATTGTGATATTTTATTTTTCTGCGATATATATTGTGATATAAAAACAATTTCACCAGATTACTTAAATTGCTCTATTTGGAAAGAATGAATCATTCTAGAATGACTGGGGTAGTTTTGTCATGGAGTATATCCACAGAAACTAATATTAATAGAATGTTAACAAAATTTGTTAACATTCTATTAATCTATTAACCTTACACTTTACAAGAAGGTTCCATTTATTAAAGTGTTCATTTAATGTACACTTTAATAAATGGAACCTTATTGTAAAGTGTTTCCGATTTATGTATCTTGAGCTCAGTGTTGGACAGATCAGTTGTTTTAACCATTCATTAAAGTGAATCGGTTCAAAGGAGTCATTAGTTCGCGAATCGGACGTGTCATTAACGGAACCACGGCACACGTTGTGTGATTATCCAGGCAGTTTAGAACATCGCACGAGATTTGTCTCGACTTATTTTTACAGTCTATGGTCTCGACAGTCGACACAGAAAACATTTCATCAACACGATAGATTTTTTTTTTGGTTTATTGAAAGTGTGGTTTCACAATTCACAACCAGTAGTTCAGAAGAAAAAAACTTCGGTCTTCCGACCTTTTACCATCGTGTATTCTCAAAGATATTCAGTCAACTCAATTCATAAACATGCGTGAGGGGGAGAGAGAGCAAAGACATTTTGAAGACGGCGCGCGTGACCGGTGCTTTCACTCTTGTTCCCTCCGTTAAACAAGCGAAAGACATTTTGAAGACGGCGCGCGTGACCGGTGCTTTCACTCTTGTTCCCTCCGTTAAACAAGCGAAAGACATTTTGAAGACGGCGCGCGTGACCGGTGCTTTCACTCTCTCTTGTTCCCTGAGTTAAACAAGCGAAAGACATTTTGAAGGCGGCGCGCGTGACCGGTGCTTTAATTGACTCTCGTTCCCTCAGTTAAACAAGCGCACCAGTCACTCATCTACATCACTTACCGGTCAAATATGGCTTTGGCGGGACAAAAATACGCATTAGGAAGGCTGGCAGAAAACAGCTCACCAGTTCCAGTCTTCGTGCGCTTGATGTTTAAACGCACTTGCGCTTTTAATACGCGTGCAAAAACAAACATCCCCGCCCCCACGCAAGTCAAATACACAGGGAATGATCATCGGCCTGTTCACATCGGCCCTATTTTGACATCGGAACGATACCGATGTGTAAAAAATTGACCAAATCGGCCGATATTATATCGGCGGCCGATATATCGTGCATCACTACATGTCACGATTCGATACATGATACGATATTATTGCGATACTCCCAAGACATATGGTAAAAGGTTAACACAAAATATACTGTTGATTAAAATGCCAAATTTGATATTACAGAGTGGGTCTAAATGAATAGGCTTGGACTCGGTGCTGTAACCCAAGGACAATGGTGACACCAGAATAACAATATTCATGATTCTGAAGCAGAGAATTACTGAGTTATTGTAGATAAATATGCTTGCACGCTTTCACTGACTAGATATAGCCTATTTAAAATAATGTCAGCCACTTTTTTTATGGTAACATCAGACATTTGCCATTATCAGGACCCACAAATATTCCCCCATTGCATTATTATACATTATATACTGTAGTTCAATGTAGTTTGAAACAAACTTTGAAAACTTTTTTTTTTATTTTCGGGGGGACTATCCACGATTCAGATTCCTCAGTAGTATGGCTCTGATCTAATCAGATCATCTCAACAGAAAGTCAATGTCAACTGACCTGGGCATTGTGACCTTAATGAAGAGTGTGAACACAATGTGACCAGCTGATGTGTTCAGATGCCTCCCGTTTCTGCTGGGGCTCTGTGATTGGTGGAAAATGGGGCAAGGCCCCCTACCAGCCCACTTGCTGGATTTACACTGCTTGACAGAAGCACGAGTTTCCGTGCCTGCGTTGCTATGGCCGTTTAAAGTGGATATGGATGTGCTCGTCATCACTCTTTTTCCAGTATACCTTGTGCGATCTGTTGCCTCACAGCATGCGTTAGGTTGTATAAGAAGCAGGCTTTGTTTTATTACTCTCTCACTCTCCAAATAAACAGCCCCAGTACGTGAATGTTAAAGTCGACTGGCATCCATTGAGAATATGTTCAGAAGAGCCAGGTGACTTAAAAGGATGTAAAATAAGACAACACAACACATTTATATATTTATTATTGTAATTAATTTTTTCTCATTCCAAGCTGAATATTGCCAAAAAACACTTTTACATTTCGCTTTGAAACCGAATCTTTTGCCATTGTCTTTTCATTGAGTGTATGTTTCCTCACCACAGTAACAAAAGGATTGTTTCATTTTCCCCACGACGCAGTCAGAGCTTGAATTTGAATCCTAACACATGTAAACCATGATGGCAATGACATGAGGAATTATTCTTTCTGATACACAGAAAACAATAATACATTGTAGACTGAACATTCAAAGGACAATGGTTAAAAAGTAACTTCCTTTATTCTTTCTGTGTTAAATGGATAGTTCACTTCAAAATGAAAATTCTGTCATCATTTATTCATTTCCTCTTATATACTCAGTATATAATGTCAGAATGTTCATTTTGAAGTGAACTATCCCTTTAAACTGACTGACATATGTTGTTTGTTCAGAGACTGTGGTACTCGTAATTGTAATGAATAAATTAGAATATATTTTTAAAATGCATCAAGGTGCCTCTTTTTTGGGGTTATTCTGTTTTTCTTCTTCTCTGTGGTCATATTTTAATATTCATGCACCTGTATAATTAGTGTGTTGTTTTCTTCCATTTCCCACCTTCTACTCTCCCGCTTTCCCACAGCGTTACTCAACTATTTCTTGAGACTTTTTCAACTTTGAGATTTTCAACGACCAGGCTAAAACGGGGGTGTCTTGACACTTTAATTGTAGCGTCTGTTCTCTACGGAAGCCCTGAACCACAAAAAATCTGTAAAAAAAAAAAAGAAAAAAAAAGAGAAAAATCTAGCGTTTCGCGATTAAAGTCCAAACGTTTTGAGATTAAAGTCCAAACGTTTCGAGATTTAAGTCCAAACGTTTCGAGATTAAAGTCCACGCGTTTCGAGATTAAAGTCCACACGTTTCGAGATTAAAGTCCACACGTGTCGAGATTAAAGTCCAAACGTGTCGAGATTAAAGTCCAAACGTGTCGAGATTAAAGTCCAAACGTGTCGAGATTAAAGTCCAAACGTGTCGAGATTAAAGTCCAAACGTTTCGAGATTAAAGTCCAAACATTTTGAGATTAAAGTCCAAACGTTTCGAGATTAAAGCCCAAACGTTTCGAGATTCAAGTCCAAACGTTTCGAGATTCAAGTCCACACGTTTCGAGATTAAAGTCCAAACGTTTCGAGATTTAAGTCCAAACGTGTCGAGATTAAAGTCCACACGTGTCGAGATTAAAGTCCACACGTGTCGAGATTCAAGTCCAAACGTGTCGAGATTCAAGTCCAAACGTTTCGAGATTCAAGTCCAAACGTTTCGAGATTCAAGTCCAAACGTTTCGAGATTAAAGTCCACACGTGTCGAGATTCAAGTCCAAACGTGTCGAGATTCAAGTCCAAACGTTTCGAGATTCAAGTCCAAACGTTTCGAGATTAAAGTCCACACGTGTCGAGATTAAAGTCCACACGTGTCGAGATTCAAGTCCAAACGTGTCGAGATTCAAGTCCAAACGTGTCGAGATTCAAGTCCAAACGTTTCGAGATTCAAGTCCAAACGTTTCGAGATTCAAGTCCAAACGTTTCGAGATTCAAGTCCAAACGTTTCGAGATTCAAGTCCAAACGTTTCGAGATTCAAGTCCACACGTTTCGAGATTAAAGTCCAAACGTTTCGAGATTAAAGTCCAAACGTTTCGAGATTAAAGTCCAAACGTTTCGAGATTAAAGTCCAAACGTGTCGAGATTAAAGTCCAAACGTGTCGAGATTAAAGTCCAAACGTTTCGAGGTTAAAGTCCAAACGTTTCGAGATTCAAGTCCACACGTTTCGAGATTCAAGTCCACACGTTTCGAGATTCAAGTCCACACGTTTCGAGATTCAAGTCCACACGTTTCGAGATTCAAGTCCACACGTTTCGAGATTCAAGTCCACACGTTTCGAGATTCAAGTCCACACGTTTCGAGATTCAAGTCCACATGTTTCGAGATTCAAGTCCAAACGTTTCGAGAATAAAGTCCAAACTTTTCGACATTAGCATATTGTAGCTTGACAGGTGTGGCCATTATGAACTATAATTGTATGGGAGAGAGCAGCGTGAACATTTTCAAAATGCCCTTCCTTTCTTTACACCACAGTCATATGGGAATGAAGTGACATGAGTAAATATATTCAATGTCATTTAAAGTTTGAAACATCTAGAACAGATTTGATGTTATGCAGAAGTGTTTTATGACGGTAGGCAGTGACGACCAGAAACCAGAGTGGAGATCTGACGGAGTGAATGAGGGCGTCTGTGACCACCACAGCTGCTGGTCTTCACGTGACCTCACACTGCGCTATTTATGGCCAGATCTTTGAATGAGGTAGTTGCCACCAAGGCATGTAACTTGTGCTTCAAGCGGACACGGTTTGAACCCTTGCTTGTATTTATTATGAGTTGAGAGAGAACTAAGGCTCCATCAAAGGTTACTTTACAAATCCTCATTGTGTTTGATACCTGGAGGAGGTGCCGGAGCTCAGAAAAGAATCGCAGGACTTTATTTATTTTTTGGGGATTTCCTTGCTCTGATATTTTGAGTTGGTAAGAAAAGTATTTGAAACTTCAGTGCGCTCTGATTAACGGTCTCGGTGGATTTGTTGTCTTACTGTTTATCTTATTCGAGTTTCCCATGAAACCTGTTATTGGTTTTGCTCACTAATTGATTCAGTGGCAGTGATTTATTTGAAATGCTTTAGCGTTTCAACAGTGGCCTTTAGGGAGACTCGAATTTAATATGGTTATTTCAGACTAAATTATCTTAGGATGTCTTTTCTTTCTGTAATCAAACATGAAGGGAATATTGTGAATTAGTGTTTGTGTTTTAGCCTTGATTACCAATGGATAAATCTAATGCAACCAGTCAAGAACATGACACATTTTACCTTTAAATCAAAGAAAAAATGAATGAATTGGTTATTGGCCTTTAAGATATAGGCCTATATACACTTTTTTTTTCAGTGATTTTTTTTCATGTAATTGTAAGAATGACCAAAATATCAAAAATGTATCTCTGTAGGAGTTGATGAAATGGGGTGTCCTGTTACATGAGCTGGAGAAACTGGAAAAGGGAATATGCTCACGTTCATCTGTTTATTGGTGTACAGTATATTTATTTATTACATGTGGCTTGATTAATATGATCTCTGACGTTAGTGCCACACTTGTTTTTATAAATAATCCTACTGTAAAGTTCAAGAGATACCTCGGCTCAACTCCAGTCTGCTTTTGGCTTCCAGCTATTACAGTAAGGTTGTAGTATGAGGCTCACATATCATTACTCTTATGACTCTCCCAGGGAAGCTGATGTCAGGATTGTGCTGGTTGCATCATTTAATAAGACTCTTATCGCACTTGATTTGAATGTTTTATGGTGTCAATAGCCAGACTGATCTCATGAAATCGCGTGTGTTTCCATTTTTGGCGTGCTATCAACACGCATTTCAGCGTGTTTATGAACACCGTTGACCTAACGTTACATTACTGTGTATATAAATATATGACCTACCCCAACCCGTCCCTAAACCTTCCCGTCACTGGGGTTAATGGCATTTATGAGTCTTCCCCTACCATCCTAGGAAGATTTAACTGTGTGTACACATACACGTGGTATCACTCGGACATTAATGGCGTAGACATACACGCATACATGCGGATAGCTCAACACGCCACTTGACTTGAAAGTGGCATGTATTTTTACGCAAAAGTCATGATGTCATGTTGCAATAGCTATAAAAATAAATATATTTAGGAAAGTTATTGTAAACTGAATTCAAGTTAATTTGGGGGGGAAGAGGGTATGATGAAAAGGTCAAACAAATGATTTTGAATTGTTGCATGGAATTGAATGCAACAGTTTATCTTAGAATTGTTTGTAAAAAAAATGTTGATTTGTTACAGTTAAAGCGTGGAATAATTTAGTGACCGATTTTTAATGTATTAAATTGAGAGCTGTAATCTGCATAAGAATGGCTTTATGAATGTTTTACATAAATGTGTTCTACGTGTGCTTGTGTGTGTGTGTATATATATATATATATATATACAACAATGTATATAAAAATGTAATATTTTAATATATAATGTTGTATTATTATAATAATATTGATGGCTTAAATTAACTTTTAGATTACCATTGCTTTCATCTATGCTTGCTTAAATTAATCTGTAAACAATATATAATCTTTAGCCTATGTTAAAATTAATTTCCATCGTAATACTGTATATTATAGTTTGTTGTGATGCCTACATTTACTCGTAGCATTTATTATTATTTATTTAAAAATAGTGGAGGATTTTAACAATGGTTATTGATAACAAAAATAAATGGTACAATAAAAAGTAGAATCGCTAAATTCTAGTTACTAAAATATATAAAAACTTTTAGAAATATATTTTTAAGATAAAAATAATTTGTAACTATCAGAACAATTGTGCTCACTTGAACATTTGAAAATGTTGAATGTTAATAACCTTGACTTGAATCGAATGTATATCAGAATAATAATCGCTCTCACTCTGTCTTTTGTTTTTCCAGGTCATTGGCACTACAGTGAAGAGCTTCTCTGTGTGTCCGTGTGTGCTTGTTGTGTGTGTCTGAGTGTTTAGAGAAATCAACATGGTCCTTGCCCACCTAAAAGTATTTGGAAAGCAGCTTCTGCGGGTGAAGGTGGTCGACTGCAGCACAGAAGAGTCTCGGCTTTCCCGATGCCTCAACACCTTTGACCTGGTGGCACTCGGAGTGGGCAGCACGTTGGGCGCTGGCGTCTATGTGCTGGCTGGGGCCGTGGCGCGGCAAAACGCCGGTCCCGCGATCGTCCTGTCCTTTCTGATTGCTGCATTGGCCTCAGTCATGGCAGGACTGTGTTACGCTGAGTTCGGAGCACGTGTACCCAGGACGGGCTCGGCGTATCTGTACAGCTATGTGACGGTGGGAGAGCTGTGGGCCTTCATCACCGGCTGGAACCTCATCCTCTCTTATATCATAGGTGTGAGTGCTTCAGATCGCCCAGGGTCCATATACCTGCTACTTAAAATCATTCAGTTATAACTATATGGAAAACTGACTTTGCAATATTTTACTTTTCTGCAATATAAAAAAAAAAATACAGGATTTTTCACCAGATGACTTTAATATCTATATTTTTTTTAAGAATGAACCATTCTAGAAGGAGTGGGGTGATTTTGTCAGGGAGTTCATAAAATAAAAAGCTGAAAATTACTTTTTAAATCATTTTAGGACTGAATTATTTAGGGAAAATATTTAAAATATAAAAATATAATATTTAAAATACCTCTAAAATATTTAAAAAATATATATACATTAAGATTATGATTATTGGAGTATGTTTTACAAGACCATGCCGGTCTTAAAAAAAAATTTGACTTCAGAAATTGTTTATAAATACAATTATAAATACAATGTTTAATTCAATGTGCCACTTGCGGTTTCTTTGTAATTGTTTGTGAAATGTACTTGCAATCTGAGTGAAAATGGTGTCCAATCACATCCTGCACCAATTTAAAAAAAAATTGAAAAAATCTACTTGAGTTTCATTTGTATTCAGTATGACTAAAATATTGGAAATGTATTGTGATTTAATAAAAAAAAAAAAAATCAAAATAAATAATACTATAAAATAAAATGCTTTACTGTATTGTTACAATACTAGTACATTTTAATGTATTAAATTTTCAAACAGTAACCTATTAAGCTTTTCTTTTGATTGGTAAATATAAATATGCTCTGCCACTCAACACTGTTTTTATCTACACTCAAGCAGCTCATCATATAGGGCGTCTAAATGCCACGCTTCACTTTGAAACCAGTAGTGCATATATTTATCTACTCGACACTAAGCCATAACACAATGTTCATTTTATTTCGATTTATCGTACAGCCCTAGTTATAACATCATATTCCCTCTTTCAGGAACATCCAGTGTTGCTCGAGCGTGGAGTGCGACCTTTGATGAGCTTATTGGGAAACATATCGAGGACTTCTGCAAGCTACACATGAATATGAACGCCCCGGGAGTGCTAGCAGAGTATCCGGACATGTTTGCAGTGCTCATCATCCTCACGCTAACAGGCAAGACATTGAGAGTCACATTTTACAAATATACCAGTTTATATCAGTTTATATTGAATGTCTTGTGGATGTTCTGCAGGTTTGTTGGCGTTTGGGGTGAAGGAGTCCGCTATGGTCAATAAGGTGTTCACCTGCATCAATGTTCTGGTGCTAATGTTTGTGGTGGTGTCGGGTCTCATCAAAGGAACCCTCAACAACTGGAACCTGGATCCTAAAGAGATCCTCAACCAAACTTCCTCCTCGAAGTAATGAACTGTTTTTTATTCGTTTAATACACACAGAATCTGAATTTTGTTTCAGGACACGACTGTTTTTTGTTTATTTGTTTGTTTGTTTTTTTTTTCAGATCAAAATCAAAAGAAAAAAATCTGTATTATATATTCCTATTTTTTTATACTATATGGTAATGTACATCTAAAAGTAATGGATTGTCGAAAAGAACTGTCAGATCGACAGAGGTTAAAAAAACAAGGTAGGGTAGGTTAATCACTGAAATTGTATTGTACTTTGTTTACTCTTTGAACAGCATAATGATAAAAGACTGTGAGTGAGCGCTGTTCTCTTCTCAGTGCCTCCTGTCAAAATAAAAGTCTGCAGCGCCATCAAAATAAAAGTCCCGCTTCCAACACATCGGCCAGTCAGAAAAACTTGAAAAACCAAATGTTGCATTTTTATCGTGGCGATATATCGGTCGACTACTAGTATCTATAGCAGACTGGTGGGAGTGGCCTTGGATGGCAACATGCACAGTGCATTATGGGTGTTGAAGACAACAGCCTTTTTCTTTTTTTTCTTTTTTCTAATTAGGTAGCACCGATTTAAAAAAAAATAAAAACCTACGGAATAGGTAGCCAAGTTTTATGTCTGTCATTTAGCCAGACGATCGAGTCTGCATATTATTAAAAAATAATTGTTTTACAGTCTTGTAAATTTGTATTTAATTTAAATGAATGTTTAAACTTTATTTGAGGGAGATGCTATAGCCTAGTCCTTGTTTGTATTTTCAGTTCATCCGAGCTGCTGCCAGAGAGTCTGGGTGTTGGTGGTTTCATGCCGTTCGGCTTCTCTGGAGTCCTGTCTGGTGCTGCGACCTGTTTCTATGCTTTTGTTGGCTTTGATTGTATTGCTACAACAGGTACATTTTTAATTTTGCATGACAAAAACTATTTCGAGTGCTCTAAGACGGATTTTCTGATTGTTGCTGCCCGTTGAAATGAAGCCCTTTTCTTTTGTGCTTCTCTGCATTTCAGGCGAGGAGGTGAAGAATCCTCAGAGGGCGATACCCATTGGCATTGTAGCATCACTTCTCATCTGTTTTGTCGCTTACTTCGGCGTGTCTGCCGCCCTCACGTTGATGATGCCGTACTATATGCTGGATAAGAACAGCCCTCTGCCCGTGGCTTTCAAATTTGTGGGCTGGGAAGGAGCGACGTATGCAGTAGCTGTTGGTTCACTTTGTGCTTTATCCACCAGGTAGGAGCTAAACAAACGTTATCTAACACAAGACCCCATGCTGTCAGTATTTGTGTGTGTATTTGCATAGCATCAGTTTGTCAACTCAATTGGCACAAATGCACGTCTCATTTAAATAATTTTACGTTTTTTTGTGTTTGTTTTTTTTAATTGAGAAGTATGTTTGTTTTTGCTCTCCATGACGTGACCTCTTTAACTCATCTGCCAGGCTTAAAGCTGTGTGGAGATTAATAGAGGTCAACCAATATTAGATTTTACAAATACCGATAATGAAGTTGGTCAGTACCTACAATAACCGATGCTGAATTAAAGCAATTGGAAATTCAAATATTTTTCTATTAATCTATTAGTCAACCAAATCTATTGTATTGTGTATTTATATGTGTTTCAAATGCTTTAAAGTGTCCTAAGAAAAATGATTGATGAAACCTTATTTGTTCATGAAAATGTTTGGATGGAGATTTCACGCACAAATTTGTGCACACGCACAGTTAATAGACATAAATTGTTTTACATCACGTGAAAACATGCACAATTATTCAAGCGTTTGGGGTTGTTAGGATTTTTGTTAAGAAGTCTTGTGCTCATCTAGGGTGCATTATTTAATATACAGTAAAACTGTAATATTGTGAAATAGTATTATAATTTTAAAATAACTTTTCTATTAAAAATGTATTCCTGTGATGGCAAAGCTGAATTTTAGCATCATTACAACAGTCTTCAGTGTCACATGATCCTTCAGAAATCATTCAATAATTCTGATTTTCTGCTCAAGAAACATTTCTTATTATCGATTTTGAAAACTGTGACGCTTAATATTTCTTTTCATTATACATTTCAGGATTCCTTGATGAATAGAAAGTTCAAAAGAACAGCATTTATTTAAAATGGTAAATCTTTTGCAACCCCAGACTAGTAGTGTGCATGATCTCAAAAAAACGTGGTTTGGAGTTTTATGACCTTTTAAATGCAAACCCAGTGGTTTTTGTGGTTTTTCTTGTTAAAGCTAATTAGCTTCAGTAGATGTTAAATGCACAAGCTAACTGCATTGCATGGCTCAAATCTGTTTCTCTCCCCTGAACTAGTCTGTTGGGCTCCATGTTCCCAATGCCCCGTGTAATATGGGCCATGGCTGAAGATGGGCTGCTCTTCAAGTTCTTGGCCAACATCAATGAAAAATCCAAAACGCCCATAATGGCCACTATAACTTCAGGCATAGTGGCAGGTGAGGATGCTCATTCAAACCACTAACAGACTCGCTTCTAGTTTACAGATCTCCGTTATGCTGCAGACAATCTCCCAAACTGCACCATGACTAAATATGTCCGTCTCATCCACTAAACTCCAGCCATGCCAGAGAACTGATAACCTCTTTGCGCTAAAAATAGCCTTCATGTTCAGAGAATTGCAGCGTTGACATTAAACAGTTAGTAGAAATACCAGAATTATAAACTTTATACATTTAAAGTGAAGTTTTCATTTGAGGAGCTGAATTATGAGTAAGTAGACTTACTTTCTTCTGTGAAACACAAAAGAAGATATTTTGAAGAATGTTTGTAACAGGAAAAAATGCAATGGATTTTTAGAAACCAAAACCCTTTTTTTCATATTTGAATGGAATATGCCTTTTTCACAAGGGAAAAACATCAACATGAAATCATAAGTTGTTTGAAAACCTTGGTTTGCCTACATTTTAATCCGCCGTTTCAGGCATTTAGGACTAAGAGGCACCTAAAACCTGTTAATTGCATGTTAAACATGAAACAAATACAATCATTAAGACTAATTCATAATTACTATCTATTACTATTAGTTCAAGATGTGCTTTTTTAATTAAGGGACAGACTGTTAACAGGATATGTGGCAACACTGAAGAGAGGAAATGCAATGTCAAATGTTATTATGCAGGACACACAGAATATAAATGAGTAAATAGTGTTGTTCATTTTCAGTTTATTGAAGTCTCTTTAAATATGAGAACTCATTAACCATTTCTTAATCATTTTAAGAGATTGTCTATTTGTATTAACTTGTTGGTTATTCAATTTTATATGTCACATTAATATGTTTACAATACATTAATACAAAAACAGAACCATTCAAAAGTTTGGGCTCAGTAAGAATACATTCAAATAGAAAACAGTTCTTTAACATTTTATTATTTTACAATATTGCTGTTTTTACTGTATTTTCGATCAAATAAATGCAGTCTTGTTGAGCAGAGGGTTTTTTTTACTGACTTCAAACCATTGAATGGTAGTGTATTAATATTCATACTGCTGTGAACATTAACAAAATAGTATTATTGTGCATATACTTCTTATAATTATTAGAGTTCATACAACTGCTGAATCATTCTGCAATAAACACTCCTGTTCCCTTCACAGCGGTGATGGCCTTCCTGTTTGATCTGAAAGATCTGGTTGATCTCATGTCCATTGGCACTCTTCTGGCTTACACACTAGTTGCAGCCTGTGTCTTAGTTTTGAGGTACGTCTTGAATTATGGGAGTGACTACCGTTGAACTGTACATAATCAGTGGATGGTTCGCTCTGTGATCTCAATAAGCAATATTACCGACATGATAAATATCACTGAATATATATATATATATTCTCACATAAATATTATGTGCGTTGACTAATTAAAAAATGTCCATTAATTGGAACATTGGGTGGTTAATATTTCAAAGTAATTTCTGTCATTTCAACAGACAATAAAGATTGTTTTTTAAAGCATCCCTGTGAAAACAAACCTGAAAAGAGATTGTTTAAGGATTATTTGTAGTGCAACCTTATGATTTAAAATGATTTGTTTCAGTCTTTTTGAGTAGTGAAGTGCCTCCCACAATCTAAAACGCAGTAAGCAGGAAAAAGGTGGATAAACAATTAGGAAACTGTAGTTGCACACACTGTTTTTTCACTCCATTTTATGGATCAGATCTTTTTTTTTTTGCATTATATTCTTAATCACACTTGATTAATGTTAAAGTTACAGCCCTGATATAAATGTATTCATTATCATAATGTATAGTATCATTGATATGCTTTTATCGTTTTTAAGATTTTGAATTGGATTTTATTTCTCTTTAATCTGTTTTCATTGTCATTTTAACTTTTAGTACTTTTGTTGTTTGTCTATATAGTTTAAGTTTTAGTTTTTAGTTCATTACAACTAGCTGACATAAAATGAGTGTTTGTTTATATATGAAGAGTTCAGATGCAAAAGCCTCTAAATGCCATTTGAAATTTTCTTCTTTAATGATGATTTTTATCAAACTTGTATATTTAAGTTCAGTGATTTCACTTAAATGGGGATGAAGATTACCTATGAATTGTTATTTAAGTGAAATTACTGAACTTAAATATACAAGTTTGATAAAAATCATCATTAAAGAAGAAAATTTCAAATGGCATTTAGAGGCTTTTGCATCTGAACTCTTCATATATATATATATATATATATAATTTCAGTTTAATGTTTAGTCATTTTCAAGTTTTGTTCATTTTTATGGTTTTAATTTTAGTTAACAATAATAACCCTGATTCATATTAAGGTATAGACTCAATATCTCTCTCTCTCTTTCTCTCTCTCTCTCTCTCTCTCTCTCTCAGGTACCAACCAGAGCAGCCCAGTGTGAACGTCCATTATCAGATAGCCAGTTGTCAGGAGGAAACCGAGGCTGATTCCATCAACGAGAGCAGTGCTGGTTTCCTACCTGGATCTCAAGATCTCTGCACCCTCAGAAACCTTCTGTGCCCCCAAAACGAGGAGCCTTCTCGTCTCTCTGGCTTCACAGTCAACATCTGCACGAGTGTATTAGGTCAGACACACACAGATGCATACCTGACATATTTACTTCAGTATGTTTACTAGACTGATAACCTTTCTTTTGCTGCAGGTGTGCTGGTGTGTGTGTTCTGTGTCGTGGCGGTTCAGGGTGGATTTCAGGTCTGGGCTCTTGCGGTTCTTGCGGTTCTGGCTGTAGTTTGCTTCATCATCACCATGTTAATATGGAGGCAGCCTGAAAGCAAAACTAAGCTGTCTTTTAAGGTAAATGCACACCTGCGTGTTCACACAGTGTCTTTTATACTCCCTTTTTGTGGTGGTTTGTAAAGACCGGTGGGTGTATGTGTGTACCCAGGTTCCTCTGCTGCCGTTCCTCCCTGTCCTCAGCATGTTTGTTAACGTGTACCTGATGATGCAGCTGGACAGAGGCACCTGGTTGCGTTTCACCATTTGGATGGCCATAGGTAAGTCTTTTAGATATTAAAAATCAAACAAGTCCTGATATATCGTCACAAACGTTTTCACGTTCAAATTGGTTGCAGGACAGTGAACTGCACAGGCTTGAATAATGGGAAAATAAATGGGTACAGTTGTTAAAAATAATCACAATAAACTTTAACCATAGATTGAAAACAAGTCTTCTGCTGTGCTTTAATAACTTTGTTTCTCTCTAGGTTTTGTTATTTATTTTGGCTATGGGATCTGGCACAGCACAGAGGCAGCGTTGGCCTGTAACGACACAGAAGACCCCGTCAAACCAGACGAACCGGACACACCTGAGAAAGAGGCTTTCCTGAACAACGCAGGGGAGAGCAGTGACCCTTGAGAAAGCACTTCAGATACTCGCTATACCGATGTATGTGACCTACGACAACAAAAACGTCCCAACACAAAGCTGCTATTGACGTTCAAGATGTTATAGTAGGTCTAAAGCACCTTTGAGCAGCATTTACAACATGTGACGAAGTCTATCACTTGAATTGCATTACTGTAAAAAGTGAAGTACGACATTACTGATTTTAATATGTGTGTAGGGCTCTGTCTGATTGGTTAATTTTTACCTATTTATTTTTGTAGCATGTTGCTATAATGCGTTTTACCAGGGTCTTGAGAAAAACTCATACATATAACATTTTTACCGTGGTGTGCGTTTTGTATGTTGAATTCTAGGGATGCACCGATACAAATTTTACTTGGTTATTTTTTTTAAGCAAATAACTGAAAATTACACAGCTTCAATTCAATTTTAAATTGACTCTTTATATAAGTTTTCACATATTTATTTAGCTGACTTAAGGCGCGTCAAATCGATTTCTCAATATGATGCTACAAATCAAGCCAGTTGCTTCTTGGTCATTGTACAAGTCTGTAACAGTCCAGTGCTGATGTCTACTTGCACTGAAAATGACTTTTAGCGGCCAATACCAATGATTGATCACACCTTTCAGACTTTTATGAGACTGTTGCCAAGCTCTTAGGTGGGGAAAAAAGACCAAGTCTTGGATCTGGGAAAATCTCCATTCTGAGGGATTGTAATGCTGGTTTGTTTGGTCCTTTATTCAGCTGTTGTGTGCATGTTTATTCTCTATTGGGCGAAATAATTTTGTACAGTATTTTTGGACTTTTGTGTATTTTACTTTGTCCATGTTGTAGTCGTTGGATTTGTACAAAAACAAAAACAAGCCAAAGAATTGGTGATTATGATTGTTTTTATTATGAATAATGGATATAAACTGTATCTCGTTGACATGCAAGAGAACAGATTTGCAGAAACATTTTCGTCACAGTACATTTTCTGCAGTGTATTGCAATTTTTTAATGTCAAAAATTAAGGGAACTGTACATTTTTGTAAATATTTGCTGTTTTTCTTGCAATAAATTATTTTCTGGTTTGTAAGGAAAGTTTCAAGACATACATTTCTATATATTTGCTTAACTTTATATAGTATTATACTAAATTTAGATAAATTCTATCTGCCTTTTTGGTATACTACTATTCTAATAATAATAGTTATTAAAGTGGTGTTGACTGTTTTTTATAAGATTGGTGTAGTGTATTATGTTGAATAATTAGAGCATGAATATTTAACAAATTAAGACTCAATTTTTGTACATTTGCGTTTAAACAAACCTCAGATTGTCAAGGTAAGCTGGACGCTCATATCTTCAATGGTAAATATTTTTCTATGGAATATTTAGTCTGCATTATCTTAAATGTAAACACCATTGCAATACATATAAAAAGTAACCTCTTTAATATAATCTTATAGTGATATTAAAATCTTGCACTTTTTTAAAGAATGTTTTAAATTTAATGAGAATGAATGTGTGGCTGAATGGCTGTGTGCACATTTTTTTCTTTTAGTATGTTATATATAATTAGATGTTAAAGTTTTATGTCCTGCAAGAACCAACTGTCTTTGAAGTGTTTTTACTGCGCGTGCGCGTAAACATTCGAGTCGCATTTAAAGACTGGAGCGAGCGCGACTCACCAGAACAGATGGAAACGAGGAAACGTCATCAACTGATAACAACAGAACTAGCGTTTCTCGCTGTTTTTTTCACTGCTTTCAGGTAAGTTTAGTAAACAAAAAAAAAAAAAATCACACAAATAAATGAATAATACATACAAACATTCCTGACACCTTTCTTACTTGTAACTGATACGCTTCTGTTGAATATTTACTTTATAGAAATGGGTTTGTTTCTTCGAAAAACAAAGTCCGTTAGCATCATGTCAGCCGTTTTCAGAAGAGGTAAGTTATAGCTTACTTGACAGACTGGAGCCTTTGTTTATATAAGTTTTGGGGTTTTAACCACATCTTTGTGTAGATAACAGTTTTTGATAGTTTTGTATTTTTATCTCCATTGATATTTTTATCTCCATTGATAAAACTCATGGTTGAAATGCAGTAAAATGGAGTACTGTTGCTTTAATTCTACTAACTTATACATGCATTTACACCTTATTTTATACACTCTGACCAATATAATTAAGTTTTTTAAGGTTCTAATTTCCGTTTTTTTAAATATGCTGAAAAGAAACCGTGACCAATTACAGGACCTAATGTACACTTCAATTCATATTTGCACCGATTTTAAATCTTGAAGATGAAGTCAATCAACAATTTTAGTTTGAATGCATTGTCTTACTATTGTTCTACTAGACTAAAATAGGTAAAAGAAGCAATATAGGGACTGAGGGAGGGACCATTAGTTTTTAAGGCAAATCTTCGTGTGCAATGACTGTGTCGTACAGCAGAGGGCAGAGTGATGTGGAGAATGATTATTGCTGTTGAATGAAAAGTGGTAGAACATGTATCCACAGGAAAACATTTTCAATCACTAGTCCACCTAAAAAAAAAGTATACAAATTTTATCCTTTTACATGTACGTTTTTTTATTTAGTTTTTAATTTGGTTACCTTTTTTGACTGATTTCACCTTGAACTTGCCATGAATAGCCTTAGATGCTGACTTGACTTAAAACTGAGAGGTAGTAACTACTGTACACTATCTAGGGCCTCTTTCTTCATTGACGACTAAAAGGAACTACGAAACACATTCAAAGTCTGAGAACTTCCTTGCAATTACCAAGGTTTGGCTGGTTAGCATGACTCTGTTAGCTCCTGCAGTTAGGCCATCTAACTTGATCTGGGGGCAAAGGAAAAAGTATTTTTCAATTGATGGCTTAAAGCAGGCTTCTTTGTAAACAACATATACATCTGACCAATCACTCAGATTAGCATCACGCAAAGGAGGGGTTTTGAATGAGCGAATCCTTTGGGAGTCGTTGAGCAATAAGGTAAAAATAAATGCTATTATAATAAGGCAACAAAAGTTTTTTTTTGTCCTTGCATGCATGTAAACCTGTTGTTTGGGATTCCCAAAACAAAAATAGGAACCTTTAAAAATGTTGCCATAATAGGGGCACTTGAAAGATTCCTGCATATTTTTGCTAAACTAAAAAGTAGGTTTAAAGCCCTCAGGCAATACTGTCTCATTGAGCAATGCACCGAACCACAGTGTCGACTGTCCTCTCTGTTCTTGAGATTTCAGACGTCATTTTTTTAGAATGCTGTTAATGCTTCTGGTTTTACTGGACTGCATTTCTCCTTTTATTGAGGAAATGCACTGTTTCTTAATGCCCTACAGCAGATTCCATTCATACTCCAAAATGTCAACAGCACCTCAAAAAGAATCAATTTCGTGGGTATTTGTTGCGAGAAGGACATTCGGAAATGAGATCAATAACAATGCAATGCCAGTCTTTAATCTCAATTAAATAACTCTAGGCAATGTCATATAAATGTACTTATTGTAAATGTGTGCTTAACATATTAAATTATTCATTAGCTGATAGTCATGAATGGCAGTTAAAAATGTATTTATTTATTTATTGTATCTGAAGCAGCATGCAATTCAGAAATATATTAGGTGGCATAAAAAACATTTGTAGTAATGAATCCAGCATCCTATATATCTATCCTATCACGGTCATGGGCTATGTGTTCAACTTCGTTAAGTGGCGAGGGAAGTGTACTTGGAAAGACCCCCGACCCCTCAATTTTGAACAAATGTATGAGTCTACTCATATGTACAATGCAGACAGATTCATAGACCACATTGTAACACGATTGTGACGTCAGAACAGCAACTTGCACGGCGGCCTCCATAGTAAATCAAGGGGCGTTCCATTTAAACCCATTTCAAGGGTTCCGCCAGTAGTGGGCACTCACGCAACATAGGTAAGGACGTACATATGAGTAAACGAGATGGAGGGAAGTTGTAAATGTGATGTGGACTTTCAGTTTGACATTCTTTAGTTCCTGTTTCTCTGCTGTTTAGTTTTGGTTTCTATAGTTACTCATTACTCCCTTGTTAGTTTCTACCTGTGTCTCGTTTTGTTTGCCCTGTGTTTATAGACCATTTCACAAGATGTAAACAACACTGGTCCAGAAGCACTTCCTTTTTCAGTTTGTAACTGTTTTCTTTATTTCACATGTAAAGAAAACATCTTTAAGATGTTTGTTGAACTTTTTGATTCAGTTTTAAATGTTCTGTTGGTTGTATTTTATCCCAGCTTTTATGTAGCGTTAAAAAAAAACTGAAACAGGAAGTGCTTCTGGACCAGTGTTGTTTACACCTTGTGAAATAGACCTTGGAGGCCGTTTCCACGACACCGTTTCAACTAAGAATGGAAAAACGTATGCATTTTGGCCATTGATTTTCACGACAATGGGATTTTGGGGGCCTAAAACATTTGAAAATGTGCTTCAAAGTGAAAACAGGTTTTTGAAAACAATATAGTTATCGTCTCTGTGTAAAGGAGAAAAACGTGGATTTGTGAAAACAGTGGTATCATGCGCATGTGTATTACGTGTTCAGTCTATAGGCGCGTAGTGTTTCTTTACAAAGTGACATCGCCACCTACTGGCCTGGCAGCAGAATACAGCGCTTTAATCGTTTTCATAGATCTGTGTGAACGAGGATCTTTTTGACAATGAATGCTGTCGTCTGTACGTGAAAAAACAAAGGTACATAGTTGTGTAAACATACCCTTAGTTTGTCGGTTCTTATTTATGGATTATCCTATAAGCCTAGTGTTTTCAGTGATGTGGATTTATAATAAAGACTGCGTATTGTTACTTCTATGTTTGCCAAACTGACACATCCCTGTTTCATTTCATTTTCCCCCCTAAAAAAAATACAAATCTGTCATTGTTTATTCACCTTTATGTTTTTCCAAAAGTGCATGACCTTTTTTTGGGGCAACATAAAAGAAGATGTCTTAGTTAGTTTTTGTTTTATTGTCCAAGCTATGGAAGTCAGTGATCGCTAAACTGTTTTTTTATATATATATATATATTCTGCAGAAGAAAGTGAATCCGAAAAAGACGTGACAGTGAGTAAATGAAGACAGAATAGTTATTTTTGGGTGAACTTTTGACTGAAAGAGAAAACTCACGGCTTGTGTTTGGATTAAGGCTCTCTCAAATTCCAAGAAATCTGGCTAAAACCATTAAATCCATTAAAATATTTTGGTAAGATTAATTATGTAAATTTATTTAAAAGTCCTAATCCAGAAGTCTGCGCTCTATACATCATTTCATCCCCCATGTCTACTTGGATTGAATAGCAAATAAGACTCAAAGTTGATCGATAGCCCAATCATTTTCCAAATATCCTCAAGCTGCATTAGTCAGAAGTGGAAGAGTGGAAGATCATCTTGGTAATAGTGTGAGTATTGGACACTTTAACATGTCAACACATTCGCATACCCAGCACAGTATGAGCGTAAACTGACCCATATGGACACTATAGGCCAGCTAAAACCTGTAACGGATGCATGCATACTTCCAACATCTGTATATTGTTATGAATATGGTTTGACATATGGTGAGAAGGTTAAGGTGTGTTTCATTATTTAATGTGTAATTTGACAGGTTGAACCAAATGAGTTTTATAAGCTCTTAGTTAGCATTTCTTTATATGAACGCATCACAGGACTTTGATTATTTTGAACACTTGTAAAAGATGGCATTGGTAAAACTTTTACTATAATATAACAAAATATTTGTGATTTGTAAGCTTTTATTTCATCTGAAGAAATGGCTGTTGCAAGCAAGGTCTAATGGGACCATGGCAAACCTTGCAATTTGTGAACTGTGAACCTAGATTTTTGTTGTGCGTAAAACATCAGTCTTTTCTCATTCTTTTAGACTGGGGGTCTTTATTCTCAGAGCATATAAACCACAGAGAATTGTGCACATAAAGGACAAGGGCTTAGACAGTGATATTTTGTTCAGTTTCATATTCTCTGTGGGTTTTTATGAAAGGTTCCCTGAGTACATGTTCCCGTGGGACGGAGCAGTTAAGCACCTTCCCTTCAGGGACT